CACACACACACACACACACACACACACACACACACACACAGTTACATTCCAGCCCAGCCTATTTAGGATCTGTATAAATAATTACACCCCAGGTTTTCACGTCATTTGTCTATGAGGAAACACAGCACTGAGCTTGAATAATCATCTGACTTTATATTATATATTATATTTATATTCCTTGAATCCAAATAAATCTATTTTTGCTCAGAGCATGCATTAGCTTACTATGAGACCTGTTATCATGAAGAAAACAATATATGTGTGGGCAAATGTAAACATGCACAGACTGAGAATAATTGCCTGATAATGATAGTGATACGACTCACCTTGCAGCCGCAGACTCTCCGCGGGTGTGAAAGCCTCTGCATACATCAGTGCGGTTAAACCTCTTATAATGGGCCTCACTGCTCACTAGACATCACAGGAACAGGGATACACTAGTGACAAACAAAGACAGCGTGTCGTTCCCTATTTGCACAAACATGTAAGATAAACATGGTTATCTTAAAGCCATTCCTTCAATATGTGGTTTCCTTTAACTTCTTATCCTCTTATCTAGAGCTGTTAAAGAGTTGCTAACTACATCAGTGACCTTTGACCCTTGGCTCCTGCCTCAGTCATTCAAAATGCATGAGATTCATTTTCACTGAATCATACCAGAGGGGGAAGAGAGTCAGGATGACCTGGAGATATTTTAGTTTTGCTTTACAGCATAAAAGATGGTAATTATAAAACAGAATAGTTGTAACATTACAACAGGAGAGTTAGCACAGCAATAAACACAAACAGTATAATACAAATTCAAGCACAAATACACAAGCGACTTAAAATATCCAGGAAAGTTTGCTGACCTGACTCTGTGCCCACAAACATCAGACCTGAGGTGGCATGAGAACTGTGTGAGGTCTTGGTGAGTAATCTTTCTGCAAAGTTTAAAATGAACTGTAACAGCGCCTTGGCTTAGGCAGAGAAAAAGAGAATTTCAATCAGAAGGGTACCATTAACTAAATGTTAGAAAATAGGAGGTGTTCAGTAGTGACACCATCATTGTGTTGTAGGACATTCAATTTGAGAGGTCACCAGGTCCAATGGATAAGTAGAGTTGTGTATAATCAGTATAACAATCATAAAACAAACATGGTCTGATCAAGTGCTCTAGAGAAGTTCATACTCTGTAATGAAAATAAAATAGGTATTTTCATGATTTGTTGAGCTATTTGAATAGTGTGGTCCGAAGTGTCAAAGGCTGCACACCATCTAAATGAACCAAAATTGACATTTGACAAAAGATTATTGAAACAAAACCATCTGAGTTTAGATTTATTTATTAACTTAAATGTGTAGAAAAATAGGAAGAAATCATCAAATGTGCACATTTACAAAGCATTTCCTTTTTTTGTCTTAAACAATTTAAATGAGTCAATTTTAAAATCCAAGCACAACTTTCAGTATTCATTTAAATGTAACTTTTTCCTGTTCCTTAAATGAAGTCCGACCCCAGTGAAGCAACGATGTTGAGACGCTGAGACTTCTCTTAACCTAGACGCCAACGGGCCGACGTCTCTGCACAAAGGTAATATACAGATGTGTTATCCTATAATTTTACAGAAACATTTTACATTTTAGTGGATTTTAAGTTGAAATGTTGCTATTTGTGTGACAAATAGTTTGAAATGGTCTGAATGTACAGAACCTGCATTCAACCGTGTGTAAATGTGTGGAGAGACTGGAGACAAAGAGAGGCTTGTACTCACTCATCTTCCACTGTAGTCAGACGCTGGTTTAAATTCCAGTTGTAATCATTTTCAGCTTCTTCTTACTGTTGCAACCACTTCTTAATTTCACTCATTTTTTAATGTACAAACTATCCTGTGGGTAAAAATGTTAAGTTTGTTAAAACTGATGACGTTCAAAATAACAATGCCTTCATTTCATTGAAGATCTTACACAGTTAGGGTTGAAATAACTTGTTTGGAAAATATCCAAAAAGATTAAAAACTTTGTAAGATTATGAATTTCTTATGCTTTTGGAGACATTTAAAGTTCACTGCACCTTATTTTAAAATAAGAGCACTCCAACCAAAATGAAAAGTACATGAGTCAGAAGCAGGAATGAATCAATAGAGAAGTTTATTTTCAGTTGGAGACAGAATGTTTTAGAAAGTGACAGACATTAGGGGCGTGAGACCAGGTACTCGGCCATGACAGGGCAGCTGCTGAAGTGACGTTGAGCCAGCATGTGCTTGTGCTCAATCCTTTGGATGAACGCTGCCTCGTATGTCTAACACACACACACACACACACACACACACAGTTAAAATTGCATTGGTTTCACTGTGTGAAGAGAGTGTAAATGCTTCTATGGACAGACCTTGTGGACGTCTCGAACCTCCACGTGAGCTGACGTCTCTTCTTTGGACAGAAGGATGCAGTTCCAGGGGCTCCAGTCTCTTTTTTGGTCCCAGCGGACAAACACCAGGTTGTAGAGGTCACTACTTGATTGGAGGGCCGAGCGGGACGCCCATACCACCTCCACCAGGTACTGCAAGTCCTCCACCTGAGAACACACACACATGGGTTACAGAGTTGGTCTATCCACACTATTAAAAGTGTGCAGGGAGTAAAAATGATTTGCTAAAGCACTAACTGAAAGAGTGAGATCAATAAAACACAAATGCACATAGTGAAGAGGACCTGCAGCAAGAAGGGGATCTTGGCATCGTCACTGAGCTGCTGCTCATCGTCTCTCAGCCTCCTCAGCATATTGTTATAACAGGAGAGATCATAACGGCCTCCAGATATGTTGTCAAGCCTGGCACAGTCTCGGCACTGACCACTCAGACGGGGCCTGGCAGTCGGGCTGAAGTTGGCAGAGCTCAGGTAGCAACGACAGCTGCGACAGAGAAACACGTCGTTCTTCAGCTGGGACGGATTCTGAGGAACCTGGCATTGATTAAAGATTGTATTTAAACTGTGTATTTATATCCAACTTATATTAAAGGTTTTCCAAAGCATGATCTCACACAGCAGGGGTCTCTACACACCTTGAGCAGTTTGGCCACTTCAGGGTTGAATGCTGGTGTTTTGATGTATTGGAGAAACAGAGTGCTGATCCTCTTCCTTAGCCCCTCCAGACTGGCTGTCTTCATACCCCGAGTCATCAGGTCCACTTCCCTGTCAATCAAATCCACGATGTCCCTGGTCAGCCGACACCCGTGCTCCTGCACATTACGGACACAATCATGCTACCCCACATGCTCATTTAAAAAACAACCGCTAAAGTACAGTGATGTCTAAACAGACCATTATAAAGCAACAAAAGTGAGTGTTAGTGCACAGTTGGAGCACAAGCAGGGTATATTTGATTGCGAGCGCAGGGTTCTGGGGGAAAACATTACAAAGTGTGAAATCAATAAGTCCTGCTAACTTTTTATTGAATAAACTTTCTAGTATTCACTTGAGCTCAGAGTCTGTTCTGCATTAGTTTGTGTCAGCCTCTCATTGTGAGCTTTTCTACAGGAAGGGACCCATGTCTGCCTTAGTGCTAATCCTGAGAGTGTAACGTTGGATGTTGAACAGCGGTGAGTGTGTGGTACCTTGACGGTGTGTTTGAGCGTCATCAGGACGTGGAGTCTCTGCTCCTGGCTCCCAGCGGGCTGGGTGACGTTG